AGATAGACTCTTACTCTGGTTACCCAGGCTGGCGTGCAATGGTATGATCTCGGCTCACTGCAACCTCGGCCTCCCAGGTTCAAGTGACTCTTCTGCTTCAGCCTCTTGAGTAGCTGGGATTACAGGCGCCTGCCACAACATTCAGCTAATTTTTGTATTTTTAGTAGAGACAGGGTTTTGCCATGATGGCCAGACTAGTCTCGAACTCCTGACCTCGTGACCCACCAGGCTCGGCCTCCCAAAGAGCTGGGATTACAGGCATGAGCCACTATGCCTGGCCAATCAATTTCTAAATACAGATTTTTATATCAACTGAGTATACACACATCTTCTGAGCACTCAAGTAAGACTTCATTCTCAGATGGGATGCCAAGGATTTTTTTGGAGAAAAGTAAGCAAAAATAAGCACAGTGTTAAGCAAACAGTAATCATTCCACCTTCTCTTGTAAAAATCCCGCTGGAAGTTTTTGTCCTGAGTCACCCCTGCATGTAGCCTCTCAACGATTCTACTACAGAACTCACCTCTAGGTCAATCTTGAGGCCTTGGTGATACACTTCTGTCTCAAAGGTGATCAGGTGCAGCTCCTCAGTCACAATCAGGGAAGCCTACAGTAACGAGAAGGACACTCTTAGGCCAGGTGTGGTCGCTCATGCTTGTAATCCCAGCACTTTGGGATGCCAAAGCAGGAGGACTGCTTGAGCCCAGGAGTTCAAGCAAAACTTCATCTCTGCAAAAAATACAAAAGTTAACTGGGTGTGGTGGCATGCACCTATAGCCCCAGCTACTCGAGAGGCTGAGGTGGGAGGATGGCTTGAGCCTAGGAGATGGACGCTGCAGTGAGCTATAATTGTGCTACTTAATTCTAGCTAGGGTGACAGAGTGACACACCATCTTAAAAAAAAATAAAAATTGGCTGGGCACGGTGGCGCATGCCTGAAATCCCAGCACTTTGGGAGGCCAAGGCAGGCAGATCACCTGAGGTCTGGAGTTCGAGACCAGCCTGGCCAACATGGAGAAACCCCGTCTCTACTAAAATACAAAAAAAATTAGCTGGGTGTAGTGGCGCGTGCCTGTAATCCCAGTTACTCAGGAGGCTGAGGAGGGAAAATCACTTGAACCCAGGAGGCGGAGGTTGTGGTGAGCCCAGATGCACCATTGTACTCCAGCCTGGGCAACAAGAGTGAAACTCCATCTCAAAAATAAATAAATAAAAATTTAAAAAGAGAAGGATGCCTTTCCTCAGAGAGAATGGCATTCAGTACTAGCAGCCACAGCCAAGGAAAGTGACATGCCAAGTCTCACCACACCAAGAAGGATAAGCCACCAGGTGGCCACAAACTGCCAGGGACACAACTTGCTCTGCACTTACTCTCTTCAACACGAAGAACCTCCAATGCTATGATCCTCAACCCAATCCTTTCCTCAGTTTGTATTATAATACTACATAGATCCAATCGGTTATTTGTAAATTATGTAAGGCACAAAGAATAACAAAACAATGTGAACCCACCATTCCATTTAAGGAAAAGGCCATCACTCTTGAAATTCTCTGGATGCCCTTCCCAAACCTCATCCCCTTCCCTCCTCCCTCAAACATAACTGCTATTTTGTCTTTTGAGTTTATCATTTCCTAGCCTTTTTTTTTTTTTTTTTTATCATATTTGTTTCTCTAATTAATGTGGGCATTGTTTAGTGAACCTTACACATATGGATCCAATGTATTCTTTTGTGATTCACTTTTCACTCAATGTAAAATGAATGCACCTGGTTATGTGTAGCTACAATGTATTCCTTTTCACAGCTGTGTAGTATTCCATTTTATGTCTAAACTACAAATCACATATTTATTCATTCTAGTGTTGATGGATATTTATTTGGGTTGCATTTAGAGCTTATAATCAGGCTGCTCTGCACTTTATACATGTTTCCTGGTACATATATGCAAAGATTTCTCTGTTGAATCCTGGAATGGCACTGTTGGTTTACAGGGTATGTTCATTTTTTATTGCCAAATTGACTATAACAATTTATACTGCCAAAGTGACTATAACAATGTCTTACATCAGTATAGCAACCTTATTTTAAATAACAGTTACCAATGAATTCTCAGAAATTGAATTCTAGGCCAGATGCAGTGGCTCATGCCTGTAATCCTGGCACTTTGGGAGGCTGAGGTGGGCAGATCAGGAGTTCAGGAGTTCAAGACCAGCCTGACCAATATGGTGAAACCCTGTTTCAACTAAAAATACAAAAATTAGCTGGACGTGGTGGCGTGCGCCTGCAGTCCCAGCTACTTGGGAGGCTGAGGTAGGAGAATCGCTTGAACCTGGGAGGCAGAGGTTGCAGTGAGTCGAGATCACACCACTGCACTCCAGCCTGAGCAACAGAGTGAGATTCTGTCTCAANTCTCAAAAAAAAAAAAAAAAGAAATCGAATTCGAATTCATTTTTAATATTTTCCGATTATAAAAGTAATATATTCAGTTTAAAATGCAAATATCACAGAGACAGTTTATAATAGCCATGGATACTGACAGCAGCACTAATACATAGCACTGCTGGGTGTATATTCCTCCAGAATTTCTTAATATACAGATGAATGCACATAAGAGTGTAGTGTATTTTTAAAACACATACAGCAATACTATTCAAAGTATTTTACATTTTGCTTTTCTAAATATGTCATGTACATTTTCCCATGTCATTGCATACAGGCTACTTCACTCTACTGTCAAGTAAAATTCCTCATTTTTTAAAAAGACTGCTATGTTTCGTTTCATTTACTTATTTTTGAGACAGAGTTTCACTGCTGCCCAGGCTAGAGCACAGTGGCAAAATCTTGGCTCACTGCAACCTCCACCTCCCAGGTGCAAGCCATTCTCAGGCCTCAGCCTCCCCAGCAGCTGGGACTACAGGTGCACACCACAACGCCCAGCTAAGTTTTGTATTTTTAGTAGAGACAGGGTTTCACCATGTTGGCCAAGCTGGTCTCGAGCTCCTGATCTCATGTGACCAGCCTGCCTCGGCTTCCCAAAGGGCTGGGATTACAGGTGTGAGCCACTGCACCTAGCTAGGACTGCTACGTTTTAAAGAGGAAGAATTGTTCAGGGGATAAATGTGAGAGAAAGAACAGGGTGTCACAATTTTTAAAAATTACTAAACTAGCTTTCGGTCATATTTACTTTTTTTATTAAAAAAATAAAAATTATTCTTGACACTAAGAATCCAACAACTGAATCAATGAAAGGCAGAAAATAAGGGGGATAAAGAACAAGATGGGTTTTTGTTTGTTCGTTTACTTTATTTTACTTACTCTTTTCCTAAGCAAGCTAACACAAGGTGGTCATTTATTTTAAAGTTTAGCTCGGGACTGTTGCCTTTACACCCTCTATCCTACCTCAGTGAGAGAGAAAAATGGGACACTGAGAATGGAGCCAAGCAGAGTCAGCTGCAGGATCTGGAAGGGGAATTTGGAAAGCCCCAGGCAAGGTGGAAAGCTACTTTATAACACATGGGTGTGGAGAACAACTCAGCAAGGGACTTTCCACTTCTCCTTAAGGAGGAGCCAACTCCCAGATATTCACGGAAATGCTCCAAGCCACAGAACGCCACGGCACATGGAACTTCTGATCAGGTCACTTTGGCCCGCAGTGGCTTTTCGGAATTAACTACAGCTGAAAGGACAGGCTGATGTTTCTAATTCTGGGTAATAAGAAGGGTCTTTTCCCCTCTCTCCCTCAAGGAAAACACCCCCAACAAAACTTACATCACAGTTGGCTCGGCCTCCATTTCCACATCTCTGCTCCCTCAGGGTCTGCAAGGAAAGAAAAGGCCAGGTGTCCCATGAGGCTCTCCCCAGCTCTCTCCCTCAGCCACAGGCCCTGTATGAAGGAAGCTCCTCCCACATACCAAGTGTTTGAATTCTGCAGAGAGGCTCCCGTTGTTGGACTCTTCCATGTTCATCACTTTGGTGTTTGTGCCCAGAATGTTAAATTTCCGGGATCTGAATCGCAGGAGAACAGTCAGCCATGTAGGTGACCAAGTATAAAGTCAGGATAAAGTTAAGTTAAATGGAACAAAAGGAAGCCTCTAGGCGGAACTTACCCTCTGAGAGCTGCCACATCCCCAGAGTCTCTGTAAGAACACAGACCATTGTCAGTAAAACAGGGTCCACGTTTCTTCAAAAAGCCTACTTTGACCACCTGTTATTTACTCTCCCGAAAAAAACCTCTGTGCTCCTGGCATTTCTATAAACTATTTAGTTACAGTTTATCAGTGCATCATAACACCTGTGCGTAGTAGGCAGAGTTGGTTGCCTCCCCATAGGAAGGGGAACCTGTGTTTCACATTGCATATGTACTTATTAAACCTCCCACCTTTGTCAACTCCCTTATTTCATTATTTTCCAGTTCATTGTCATGAAATTTCCAGATAATTATATCAACTAAGTATGCATTTTCTCTTTTCTAATATATTCAAAGGGTATGTGTATCTTACATCCTGAAAGGCATTATGAAATTTTGAGTATTCCATTACATGGTAAAGTGTGGAACAATTTAAAAAAAAAAAAAAAAAAAGGCTGGGCACGATGGCTCATGCCTGTAATCCCAGCACTTTGGGAGGCCTTGGCCTCCCAAGTTCAGGGGATCGAGGTGGATCACAAGGTCAGGGGATCAAGACCATCCTGGCCAACATGGTGAAACCCCGTCTCTACTAAAATACAAAAAAAAAAAAAAAAAAAAAATTAAATGGGATTGGTGAACTAACACTTTAATACCAAATAAAAGGGAGGCTGAGGCAGGGGAATCGTCGCTTGAACCCGGAGGCAAAGGTTGCAGTGAGCCGAGATCGTGCCACTGCACTCCAGCCTGGCGACACAGCAAGATTCCGTCTAAAAAAAAAAAAAAAAAATCTATTCTTTCCACACGCTATGTATGGAAAGAATATATAAAGACATTTCAGCCAACGACAAACTGCATATATGACAGTGGTCCCATAAGATGATAATGGAGCTGAAAAATTCCTACTGCATTGTGATGTGTGTTATGACTGCCTACAGTATTCAGCATGGTAACATACTGTACAGCTTTGCAGCCTACAACCAGCAGGCCCTACCACATAGTGTAGGTGTGCAACAGGCTCTGCCACCCAGGTTTGTATAAGGACTATCTACTCTACAATGTTTGCACAACTAAATTGCCTAATGATACATTTTGCAGAATGTATCTCAGTCATTAATTAACACACAATCTTATATAGAAAAATGCATGAATTACATGTACAAGTAAAACGCTAAACAACAGCAACTACAAATCACATCTATACCCTCGGGTTTGTGGCTTTGTTCTGGTGTGTAAATGACAATGCCAAGGCTTTTGTAAACTTTTGTCCACAAAAAAGATCTCTGAATAAAGATAGAGTCTCGAGTTCAAATGATGCCTGTCAAAGTTCTCATTTTTCTGTTCCTCATTTGAAAAAAAGAACTAAGATAGGAGTACTTACTTGTCAATGCACACTTTAATTTTAAGCTGGTAATTCAACTCAGGGAATTTGACCAGCAACCTATTTAAAAAGAAATTATCCAATGAAAAAAAAAGTCAGTAGACTCTCCCATAACCTTTTGTTGAAAAAATGTAAAATTCATAATTCTTCATTTCTCAAAGGTAATAGGCCAAGCTGTCTGTAATTATAGGCTCACATCTATAATCTCAGCACTGTGGGAGGCCAAGCTGGGAGGATCACTTGAGCCCAGGAGTCCCATAACAGCCTAGGCAACAAAGTGAGAGCCTGCCTTTATAAAAAATTTAAAAATTAGTGGGGTATGGCAGCATGAACCTATAGTCCCAGTTACTCAGAAGGCTGAGGCAAGAGGATCACTTGTGGCCAGGAGTTCAAGGCTGCAGTGAGACATGATCATGCCACTGCACTCCAGCCTCGGTGAAAGAGAGATCCTATCTCTCTCTTTAAAAAAAGTTAAAATAGGCCAGGCGTGGTGGCTCACACCTGTAATCCCAGCACTTCGGGAGGCCAGGGCAGGCGAATCACCTGAGGTCAGGAGTTCGCGATAAGCCTGACCAACATGGCTAAGACCCGTCTCTACTAAAAATACAAAAATTAGCCGGGCATGGTGGAGTATGCCAGTCCAGCTACTCAGAGAGGCTGAGGCAGGAGAATCGCTTGAACCCAGGAGGTGGACTCAGCAGTGAGCCAAGGTTGCGCCACTACACTCCAGCCTGGGTGGCAGAGAGAGACTCCATCTCAAAAAAAATAATAAAATAAAATAAAGGCCAGGCATGGTGGCTTATGCCTGTAATCCCAAGACTTTGGGAGGCCAAGGTGGGTGGATCACCTGATGTCAGGAGTTCAAGACCAGCCTGACCAACATGGAGAAACCCCATCTCTACTAAAAATACAAAATTAGCTGGGCATGGTAGCACATGCCTATAATGCCAGCTATTTGGGAGGCTGAGGCAGGAGAATCGCTTGAACTCAGAGATTGCAGTGAGCTGAGATCATGCCATTGCACTCCAGCCTGGGCAACAAGAACGAAACTCCCTCTCAAAAAAAAAATTAAAAAAGAGGTGGGCTGGGCAAGGTGGGTGGCTCTCGCCTGTAATCCCAGCACTGTGGAAGGCCAAGGCAGGTGGATCACGAGGTAAGGAGTTCAAGACAAGCCTGGCCAACATGGTGAAACCCCGTCTCTACTGAAAATACAAAAATTAGCTGGGTGTGGTAGCATGTGCCTGTAGTCCCAGCTACTCAGGAGGCTGAGGCAATTGAACCCAGGAGGGAGATGTTGCAGTGAGCCAAGATAGTGCCACTGCACTCCAGCCTAGGTGACAGAGTGAGACTCTTGTCTCAAAAGAAAAAAACATTCTTGCCGGGCGCGGTGGCTCAAGCCTGTAATCCCAGCACTTTGGGAGGCCGAGGCGGGTGGATCACGAGGTCAAGAGATCGAGACCGTCCTGGTCAACATGGTGAAACCCCATCTCTACTAAAACTACAAAAAATTAGCTGGGCATGGTGGTGCGTGCCTGTAATCCCAGCTACTCAGGAGGCTGAGGCAGGAGAATTGCCTGAACCCAGGAGGCGGAGGTTGCGGTG